TGTGTGATTTATAGAAAGTTTTAAAAAAAGTCATTTTAATGATAAATAAAATACAAAAATATATTGTGTATATTCACATTAAATACTGTTGCACCGGGAATGCACAATACAAACAAACGAATCGCACATTAATGTCTTATTGAATGCACAATAGCAACCTAATGCGAATGAACTAAAATTTTCGATTTGAAATTTTATATATCGATTACATTATACATTTTTTAATTTTATAATATCAATTATCTCATTCAGAAATTAATGTAAAAAAAATTAAATAAAAATTATTTATATATTGTATATTTTTTTTAAAAAAAAATACATAATATTTTATTGATTGCCGGTATGCACACTAGTGTTAGACCAAATGCACAATAGCGTGTTCTATATTGCACATTAACTAAAATAACAGAACTGACCGATTTATATAGCAACAACATAATTATTAACTAAGAAAATCTAAATACTAAAACGTTAATTTCTATATAAAAAAAATAGTTATACTCGTATTGCACATTACTGAATGCACGATTGCACAATAGTGTTGGACGGGTTGCACGTTAGCAATTGTCAGATTGCACTATATCTATCGACTCGACCGGAATACTTTTTGGGGTCGAATTTTATGACGGTTGTATTATATGTGTTTGCTTTTAAAATCTTGTATAATGAAAAAAAAAAATCAGATTGACCAAACTTAATAAATAAATACTATTTGCTATATTCTATATAGAATATTAGTTTTTCAATAAAATAATTTTAGATAAAAATATTAAGGTACAATTTACATACAGTTAATGTGCAATTTAATTATCGTTATTGTGCAATTCACCTGACAATAATGTGCAATTATTAACATTTTTATATATTATAATTTAACACATGAATTGAATTGTAGTAAATTGTAGTTTATAGAATTGCAAGATAGTCCCTTAAGCATATCAAATTTTCACAAAAAATCCCCATTCTAAAATGCTACATCATCGTTCAATTTCAGCATTCTCTGTCGGGGACGAAAATGGCTGGGCTGTGGCGGCGGTAGAAAGGTGGCGCGGCGGGCGGCAGTGGTTATCGACGCCGGCGACCTGCGTCCTCTCTGTGGATCCCGTCGAGATGTCGTTGACCAGTTACGGTGGTGGCGAGGAGAAGCTGTGGTGGCGGACGGCTATGGCTGAGCGACGGATTGGTGGTGGAAGGCGGATGCGATGGCCGGACGGTGGAGTCGAAGTGGCGGACTGATGGCGGAAGGCGGAGGCGAGTTGGCTGCAGACGCGGCGGCGTGGGGTGGCGTGTGCGGCGGCTCTTGGTGGTCTGGCACTTCACAGTGCGTGAGTGTGTGTGTCTTCTGTAATTTGTGTGTGTGTGTTTGTGTGTGTAAGATAATGAGGGAGGGAGAGTAGGGTAGGTCGAATTATGTGGAGGAATTAATGTGGTAGTGGTGGGTCCCATATATTGATAGGGTTAAATTAAATGTCCATATTACCCTTAATTATTGGTCAAATGCACATATTTGACCTACCATGATCAAATAATTACTACAATGCCATTAATGATTGACCATATTTTGACTTCATCTTAACTATTGATATGGTGTATCCAATGCACCATATTTATTCTTATTTCTTTCCTAAATCACCATTCTCACTTGATCCTAAGGGTCAGTTTGGTTGGCATTATTGAGCTTGATATCAAGCTTTTTGTTTATAAATCATTACGTTTAAGTTGTTTGGTTCACGTCCAAAAAGCCCATGATATTGCTCAAGCCCGGTTCCATATCCATTGATTTGTTTATATCGTATCCCACCATGAGCCTCGGATACAATATCAGGCAATTACCTCACAATTGTCTAATTACTCATTAGCCTTCACTTTATCAAAAGCAACTCATCGTTGCCGACTCGAAATTCCATTTCACCTCCATTCTGCTTTAATTTTTTTCAACATTTTTTTTTTTTTTCAGAATAACACAAAAGCAGAAAATCCACCATGAACCATTCGTTGTTGAAAACCTTCGAATACAAACTCAATTTCAGATCTATCATTTTTAAGAAAGGCAATTCGTGGATCTATCTTAAATCAGTAGAGACGAGTTGCAACAACGGAAGGGTATCATCCCGCCAACGGATTTCTTCTCGAGCACGCCGCAAAGACCTTGTTGATCGACGTCTTCTACATCGATCGGTTGTCGAAACACATATCATCCCGACTTGCTAAACACCAGCTCCTTTCTCCTCCACTACACAACCCCACTAACTTGTGGATGAAATGTTCAATTTGATGAAAAAAAAAATATTATTGACCAAACAAGAGTTGATGAGATCTAGAAATATTTCAACTCTTTTCAGAATGTTGCTCAATTTTGCTCAAAGAGATGAAGATATAATGGGGCTATTTTGGGTAAAGTGTAAATTATTTATGAATGAGCAATTAAAAAAATGCTAAATAAATAATTTATTTGATTTTATGGTCTTGATTCTAGTTGCCCAAAAAGTAAACCAAACACCATAATAAAGTTGATAGAGTCTCGTGGATATAGAGAAAAGCCCGATTTTGATACTATCACGCACAATCAAAAATTGCAACCAAACCGACCCTAACTATATATATATATATAGATAATGTTCCCCTACTCACGGTGGACACATGTTAATATGTCAAATGTTTATGTGACATGCAAACATGATGTATTTTTTTGAACATATTAACATTACCAATATATGCATGTCACATTAGCAATGGACATATTAGCATATGCTTGGAGCATTACTGATAATTCTACCATACATAATCAACTAACACCACCAAGCGCACCTATCACTTTCCTAATTAAATTTCTCTGCTGGAGACACTTTCCTCTTTGCTGTGTCCTCATATCCTTCAATTCTGTCTCGTCCACAACACATCGCTAGTCCATTGTTTAATCTCATTTTTCATGTCTGCACATTGCAAAATCTGATGATGATGCCAATGGAGCCCTTAAGCTAAAAGGACAAAACACACACACACACACACACTGACACCTTTTTTCTCCTCACATCATATGGCAGCAACCACTACCCGTCTCAAATTCCAAACACAGCCCATCAAACCTAAACGCCGCCGCTGTCGTGAGACCACCATCACCACCACAACCACAACCACCACCACCACCCCCAACACCTCCGCCTCCGCCTCCGCCTCCGCCTCCGCCGCTGGAGATAACGGCTCTTCCTCCTCGGCCGCCATATACATAAATCAAAACCATTCCCAAAACCGCAGACTCGATACGCCCATTATAGTCTCTCCCGACAACTCCTGGTGCTGCCCCGCTTCTAAACTGCCCTCTCCTCCTCCGGTCGACGCCGCCGTCGCCGCTGCCCCTTCTTCGTCTCTAGAGCCCTCCCCTCCGCCGCTCTCCTCCTCATCCCCCTCAGATCTCAAGATCCGCCACTCGCCCTCCGACATGGATTCCTACCAGAATGGCATCTACGGCGGCGGATCCGCCTCCGGCGCCGGTGCCCAAGAAAATTCCCCGTCTTCCCTGAGCAAATTTAACTCCGCACTCACCGCGGGCCTCCTCAATCCGATGTCGCCCCCACCTCCGGTTGACAAAGCTCGGTCAAGCCCAACCCTTTTCGAAATGATGGCTAACGAGCCCGAATGCCTCCCAAGAACCGCGGTCGTCGCCCAAAACGGCTCCATCCCTGCCCAAAACGGCCAAAGCTCGAAGCTTTCCGCGAACCCACCTCCTCAGGACCGGCAGGCGCTAATGCAGCAGAGGCTAATGGATATTCTTGCGTCGAGGAGCCCTGGAAACCTGTTCAACGACGCCGTTTCAGGAGATGTGAAGCTTACTCTGAGTTCCAAGGATGGGATTAACGTTTCCATGAGCGTTCACCGTCAAATCCTTGTGGTGCATAGCAGATTTTTCGCCTTGAAGCTGAACGAGAAGTGGGTTAAGCAACAGAGGAGTTCGGGCCCGTATATTGTGGAGATTGCGGATTGTGATAATATCGAGGTTTATATCGAGACTCTGAGACTGATGTACTGTAAGGATTTGAGGAGAAAGCTGATGAAAGAGGATGTTCCTCGCGTGCTGGGTATTCTTAAGGTGATACTGAATGTTTACTATCTTTATCTAACATTGAATTATTGTTAATTGCTTTATATGTTGTCCTTTCTTAAACTTGGGCTGGAAATTTGACCAAATGGAAAGTGAAATGCATGTGATGTCCTGTGAAAAGATCAAAGCAATATTAGAGATGATTCATATTTTGTGACTTGGAAATATGGGTTCTCAAAAGAGAGAATTTGATGATTATGTAAGTGGGAGTGAATCTTTAAAAAGAATGAGAGATTTGTGTAATTATTAACTTCCAATCATTAATTGTCGTGGGCATTAAACTATATAATAACCGTAAATTGGGATTCACCCTTACACGATTGGTGAACTCGGCTTGTTTAAACTTCAAACTTTGATGATCCTAGAAATGGGCTACCTAGGTTACTGAAATAATGTTATTGGAGAAGTTGCCAAATTTAATTTGATCAACTGATGCTGGATTTAAATGAATCTTCAGCTTGTTTGAATAGCAAAAATTTGATGAACCGAGGATTGGGTTTACCTTAGATTATTGTAATAATATTATTTGTGAGAGTCCAAATGATTAAGTTTAGCTCAACAAGATGTTATATTTAACTTGACCAAATGATGATGGATTTGAATAAATCATCAGTTGATCAATTTTGTTCATCGAATTTTTAAGTTGAACTATTGGATGGTAATTTCAAGGCCAATGTAAATCTCAGACACAAACTTATTGGGGAAATATAATTCAAAATTAGGGCACTAACTCTATTCTGATCCTCCTGTGGTGTCTTTGTTATTAGTTTCACAAACTACTGGACTGATTTTATAAAATGCAGGACAAATTATGGAACCAATTTAAAAGGCTGCAGGTCATTGTAGTTTCCTTATGTCTCGTATAAACTTTCCCTACCAATGATAGCTGTAATGAATCTAACATCATTAGCAGTTTCTGTGTAAGAATTGGTGATGTGCTGTAATAATAGTTTTGGTCCACTCATATCCCGCGTACTTGAGATTCTGTATCTAGTAGGTGATAAACAAACCACTTGAGTTGAGATCCTTATAGTGTTATCAAATGGGGGTAAAATGCCTCATCCTTAGGCATTAGTGGGTCATGCTGATTTAATTTCCCATACATGTTCAATTTCAAATGGTTAAGTTGGACAATTAAATAATGCGTGTTTCAATTAGGGCATAATTATGCCTTTGTGGACTTATGCTCGTTGGGTTGTTTTGATGCTTTAGCCTTGAAGTTTCTACAATATTCTTACTTTTAACCCTATATAACTAAATAAAAAGGTACATGTGTTCGAACGTATATCAACTTCCCTTCCTCAGGGTGAGTGGAATCCCACTTTGAGCTATAATGTTCTCCATTAAGAGTGTAACTCAATCTTGATTTCCTAAAGATTTAGGCTGCAGTCCAATTGTCAAATGGCTTGTACATCTATGTTTTCCTTCACATTTTGGTCCTTCATAAAGATTTTTTTTATCAGAATTGAATCTTAAAATGTCATTTTCCCCAAATAATCGATTTTTTTGGTTCCATTTTTTTTTCATCCCATTCTGATTCCTTCATAAGATTTTTACGAGATTCATGCTCTCCAGCGGTCATTTTTCCCTAAAAACGATTCTGTTAATATATATTATATATATTCAACTTTAAAAAAAAAATAGCTGGACCTTGTTCATTACTCTACTCTTCTTCAACCAAAATCATAGTTGGTACACAATTACTGTCTGTACGTATGTCAACACATTCTGCTCCCTCGAATATTCTTTCCCAAACTTGCACAGACAATTTGGTGAATAAAAAAAAAAAGACTTTCACCATAAATACACTAAATACATCTCATGTGAAAAATGTAACCCAAGCTATGTTACTATTGTAAGGTCTCGGCTGCAATCGGATTTGATGCTGGCGTACTATCTTGCCTTGAGTATCTAGAAGCCGCGCCGTGGGCCGAGGATGAGGAGCAAAAGATAGCCTCCCTCCTCTCCGAGCTCAGGCTCGAAGGAGTCGGGGCCGGCGAAGTTCTCAAACGAGTCTCCCTCGACGCATCTTCTGGGGCCCATGGCGAGAACGACCACGAGCAGACCCTTCTCAAGCTCCTGCAAGTGGTCCTCGAGGGAAAAGACGAAAAGGCACGTCGGGAGATGAAAAACCTCATGACCAAGATGCTCCGTGAAAATTCCTCCCAAAACGACTTGAGCAAGGAGTCTCTATACTCAGCCTGCAATTCCTGCCTCAAGTCTCTAGCCCACGATTTTTTACGTGCCGCTGAAGGAGACGATCCACGGGCTGCGGGCTTAATAGCCCGGCAGGCTGATAACCTGCAGTGGCTGCTGGATATAATGATCGACCGACAGGTAGCCGAGGATTTCTTGAGGACGTGGGCCTCACAGTCTGAGTTGGCTGGGGCCCACTGCAAGGTCCCAGCTGTTCACAGGTACGAGGTCAGTAGGGTTACGGCCCGGCTGTTTGTTGGGATCGGGAAGGCTCAGCTCCTGGCCTCGAAGGAGGCAAGGTGCATGCTCGTGCGTACGTGGCTGGGCCCGTTTTATGAGGATTTTGGGTGGATGAGGCGGGCCTCGAGGGGGCTTGATCGGCATTTGGTCGAGGAAGGGCTTGCTAATACGATTCTGACGCTGCCAATGAGCTGGCAGCAAGAGATCATGATGTCGTGGTTCGACCGGTTTTTGAATTCGGGGGAGGACTGCCCGAATATCCAGAGGGGGTTTGAGGTTTGGTGGAGGCGGGCCTTCTGGAGGCGGAATGGTGGTGAGGCCCCGAAGGCCCGTGAAATGCGGGTTGTGGCTGCTGCTGACATGGATAACTAGTAATTTTCTGACAGGGTGGCCAAAACAAAAGAAAGAAAAGAAAAAGAGAAAAAAGGCAAGGGTTTGAACTTTTTTTTCTAGTACTGGACATGCTCGGTCGTGTGGTATTTTCTGTTATTTTCAGTTTGAAACGAGTATGGATGTTGGATTAACGTGGTATTGGGGATTCAAGAGCACTAAAAAAAAAAAAGGAAGAAGAAGAAGGAGGTAGGTTTGGTTGAATATTCTTGATTCTTTTTATGGATTGGGTTTCTTTGCCTAGTTTGAGTATTATGCTTTGTTTTCTGAACACGAAGTGTACTGAATATTGAGATTGAGTGTGTAGGAATCATCAGTGGTGTGATGGTAAAAATGAAAAATAGTGAAAGAGATTAATTTCTGCTGCTGTGTGAGAGTCGACTTAAAATTTGCCAGACGACTGTCTTGATTGATGAACTGAAGGTAGAATCATAAGGTGTGGATTATTTGTGCTGCTACAGATATCGAACAACCGATGAAGATAACAAACTGGATTCCAGTTCGGTCTTTGAATAAGAGATCATTAGCTGCTGCTGCCCCATTCTTTTCGTTGTGTTTCTCCTTGTATGGCTTCAAACTTTCGACTTATCTAACATGCTTTTGTTATTTTGCCATTTTAAACAGTTGGTTTGTTTATGGCTTGTGATGAGTTGATTCTGGTTGAGAAGGGCGATTTGATGTTCTTCCTAGTAGTAAGTATTGATTTTAGATGTTTTGCATGGTACTTTTGGCGATGTATTTAATCAAAGTGGCCGGTGTGCCATTTTATAGGTTTTGTATAAAGCTGTGGAATGAACCTAACTGCTCGCGATTAAAGTTCGAGTGCGATTCGTTTAAGTAAAAGAACGAACGAAGCTCGAGCAACAAATCGAGCTAGTTAAATAAATGTGCATGAGCTTATACGCGAGCTGGTTGTTTTTCATTTTTATTTATTATTTTGAAATAAAATACTTGAACTGAAATTTCGCGAGAACAAACATTTTCTTTTTGAGAACGACTAGTTTAAGGATTTGGGTTTATTAAATGAACTCAATCGAGTCGAGCTGAACATTCATCAATTTAAATGAGCTAATCAACTCGAGCCTTTGTCTTTGCCTCGATTAGTAAACAAGTGGGGTTTTGAGGGTATGAAACGAACTTAGCCAATTTGAGCTAAACATTCACGAGTTTAAACAAGTTGATAAGCTCGATCGGCCTTAGTCTTTTCCTCACTTATTAAACAAGTTGAGTTGATGATGTAGGGGAAGCGTGAACGAACGAGAAAATACAAGGAGATACTCTCTCCAGTAAACGGGATACTCTCCCAAAACAAAACACGATCAATTATTTTCATTCATCAAATTCTCCCCTAATAACAAAGCATAAGACCCTTTAAATAAAGCCCCTAAATTAAACCCTAGCTTATTCTTCAAGCTACTAATTATTAAATAATAATAATAATAATAATAATAATAATAATAATAATAATAATAATAATAATAATAATAATACTATCCTCATCTATCCTCATCAGTTGAGCTGGCTCGTTTATTAAACGAACAAGAGCTTTAACATGAGCTACTCGGTTCGATTAAGTTCGAGTATATCTCTAGTTCTGCGGGTAGTGCCCCCATAATGTTTCTAGCCATGTGGGTAGAATTCATGCTACCCATTTCTACCCATTCATACTACAGGCCGGCTCGGCCCGCCGTCCCGGTCCCACCCGGTCCCGGCCCTGCCCGCAACTGGCCCGTAAGTTGCTGGTTCCGAGAACCGACA